AGTGGCGGGCGCTCACCCATTGGCACCGGACGCGAGGTCTCCAGCCGCCCCCGCCATGAGGCACCCCATCGTCAGGTCTGTCAGCCCTCGGAACAGGCCGCGGGGCAACAACTTGTGGTTGGCGGGGGTAGAGGCGAGGCAGATCACAGAAAAATAATAAAGACTAGAGTATGGCAAAGATATGTTGATGAGAAACGTATTTGTAATACATCAAACACAAACGTAATCAGGGAGAAAATACATTTATGGTCAAACGTAATTGAGAATGCATTTTAGTTTTGGGGGAACGTAATTTTTAGGAGACAGGACTGGAATGAACAATCTCAGATCACACGTTTAACAGAGCACACTCAGTTAGTTAATGAAAATTCATAATGGCTAGAACTTTCCAAAGTCCGTAAAAGATCAAGTGTTTTTTCTTGGCTAATCATTTACTGTTTTGCCACTATAACAATCTTGACTTAACTCGCCTTTCTGACCTGGTTCTTCCTGCTCTTGCTTTCTTCCTCTCTGTCCTCTTCCCTCCCTCTTTGCACTGACAATCACACACAAACATATCGCATTCAGCTAGATAATTAGAAGATGCATAATCAACAACAAATTAAGTGTAACTTCTGAACACTGTATTTATAGATCAGAGCCTGCATGTCCCAGAAGGAAGTTCTGTCTTTTCAGAAGGTTAATGCTTTGGCACAGAGCTGTTGAGATCCGGCCCCTAGTAATTGAACTTAATTCCAATAAGAAACCAGTATCGTGTTAAATTTCGCGGATGACGTCAAACAACAAATTCGGTATCCACATTTCTACATCTTTTCTAATTACGACCAATTTGACACAAAGTTCTCTGTCAGAGCATTCACAAATTTGATTTGTTAACATTATCAATACCTACTTCTTCTTTTCCTTTGCATTGGCGGGTTTCCAACCTTAAAGGTGCATTGCGCCACCTACTGTAAGCCTACCGCAGTGTGTAACATCATGACTTTATAAAGGACGCCGGATATTATACCATTTAAAATAAAGTCCTTTGAACCTGCAATTATATGTTCCCTGCCTCTAACAGACAAGTTCGCAAAAGAGGACTAAAAATGATTTCAGAAAATGATTTCAGAAAATAATAATAATTGGCCTAAATATTACTCATAATTATTAGTGTTTATTCGGGGTGTTGAAAAAGAGTGTAAAATAACCAATGGAGCAGACACCATTTAGTAGACTGCCAATTACTTCTTAACTTCAAGGATAACTACAAGAAGAACACTCCTGGTTAGAAAGTCTCGTGTTTGACCCCTCCACCATCCAACCCTACCTCCTCCCTATATGCGGTCTTTCATCAAAACATCCGTCTGTCGAACCCGGGGACTCATGTATCCACTGATACAACAGATCCAAATTCATTGAGTTGTTGCAATGCGCTGTTAAGAGGTCGCAGCCATTTCACGTATTTCTTTGAGATCCGACTGCTTACAACATAATCCTCATACAGTGTGGCGTCACTACATTTCCCACCGATTCAGGGTCGATGACTTTAATAGTGACACGGGCCAGCTCACACCCTATGATGTTCTTGCGGAGTGCATCGCCAACGCTCTGAGGATGCGCTCTGCGCGCCGGCTATGACTCAACCTATCGGCTATGACTTTAGAGCCTGCTTCAGACCAGACCCAGGTATTCGACATTGCTGGACCCAGACAAGCCATTAGAGAGGATGGTCAGATCAGAAACATTGCGCCGCATGCTCACTGACAGATGCAGTCATTTTGACAGATTACACGCTCATGCCTCCATCCTGTAATCACACGCGGCCTCATAAAAGCCAGAGACCTACCAATTTGAGAATCCCTGCTGTTTTTGCGCTGTGATACAGCTCGTTCGCATGGTGCTATTACCAGCTTTAAGATCCCCATTTTATCTCCGTTTTATTTTTCTTCCATATTTGGGTGTTTGTAACTGTTTTTGACTCTCTGAGCAGATTGTAATCATCTTGTTTGAAGGATGTTCGAGGGTATGGGGTTATGAATTGAGGATCTGTTTTTAGTTAGAGTGGCCCGTGCTGTGATGGAGACATCATTATTTAGTTATGAATGAACAGGCTCGTATCCCTTTGGCTTGAATGGGTTTCTTTTTGTGTTGCATGCGCTAAGCTCCTTGGTTTTAGTGGTAAGGGGAAAATGAGGGGTCACTACCCCACACAGACACAAACTCAGCCTCATCACAGACTCCCCATTGGCCTGGGCTTAGTCATGAGACCCTGGCAATGAGAAAGCTCTCACCCAATAAGGTGCCCTGTGGGGAAAGCCCTGGTCCAATAAGAAGGCCCACCTGGGGTAAGGCTGGGGGATTACCAGACTGAGCCTGCGGATTGAGCTCCGGGGCGAGGGAGGCGGGGCACGAGTCACAGCGCGGGGCTACTCGGTCGCCAAGGCTGACGGCCTCCTTTAAATGGTTGCTACGGAGCAGGTATCAAACGTGCCAGAGTCGCACACAGTCACGGTCATGGAGGGTATTAAGTGGCAACAAAGAGACAGTTATTCTGCAATAATCCGCCCTGCTGAGTGCAAGTTATTCTCCAATAATCAAGAGGCGAGGAGCAGGCAGGACGGAGCTGTGATCACAAGAGCATGGTGCTGCATGGAGCTTGACTCGCTCCATGCACACACACACACACACACACAGGTCACACCACATCAACCCAGGCACACAAACTTTATTTATCACTTGTACATATCCCCAGTCCCACACTCACTAACCCAGACCGGCTTTGTCAGTGTATATTCCAAGTTACCACAATTTTGTTGAAAACGTCGCTGAAAACCAATCAAGACAGCAATGATAATATTAGTAACTACAAGGCACCTGCAGATCTCAGCCAAGGCCAATCCACTCCAAAATGTATGTTATGCCATTAAAATGTGTATATAATGGTATTTATATTTTACAAGTATTTGAGCAAATGTGTCCAGGATTCCGCCCATTGTATGGTCAGATGGCTCCAGCCGTCTGTTAACCTGAACAATTAAAACATGTAATTATGACATATTTGAGATTTGGAGGATTTGACAGTTCAGTGTAAACGGTGAGACTATATGCATTTGCGTCAATGTGATAAAGTTTCTTGGTTTGTCAATAATTAATTAATAATAATTAATAACAGTTTCTCATTTGATTTTTCATAGAATGTCACCACATATTGATGTCAGCATATGAAATTGCACTGTTTTAGGGGATTAGGGAATTACCCAGGTCTACAATTTTCTATAATGTGAAAAATAAATTGTGGAATCAAGTTGCTGAAAGGTGCACAAATAGGTCATTTCCAACCTACAGTGTATGTATGACACTAGATAGACACTAGATAGATTGATAGCTAGATAGCAGTCAGGCATGTATTCAGTGGGTGTCTGGGGTCTGCCAGGGTTAGTCCCATGTCACCGATTCCATTTGTGATCTTCAAGGAGAGGATCTAAAGGCACAGCCAGTGGGAGGTCAGTGTTCGTTTTTGGGAACCTCAAAATTCCTCCATGCTCTTTGCAGACAATGTGGTTCTGTTGGTTCGATCAGTCCGTGACCTTCAATACTCACTGCGGTGTGTTTGCATTCAGGATGACAGTCGGTATCTACAAGGACGAAATGGCAAATTTTGTCGTCCGGCTTAGAAGCGAGTTTCTGCTCCAACTAAGCGAGTTCAAGTATCTCGGGGTCTTGTTCATGAGTAAGGGTAAGAATTGATGGACAAGTGGATTTGTGAGTTGTCAGCACTAATAGGGTACTAATAGGCGTACAGGTCAGATGTGGTGTACAGCCACCAGTCGATCTAGCAGTGGCGGGCTGTGCATTTTATACCTGGGCCTTCACTGCTGTCCTGCAGCTGAAATACCACCTTATAACGTCACGATGGCACCACAGCTACGGTTATTATTCGTTTCTAGGGCTGTGACAATATACGTATTCATATTAAACCGTTCGGTATGAGGCTTACAAACTGAACAATACATTTGAATAATACTAGTGCATTTGGAAAATGCAGAAGCTTAAATTGTAGGAAATATAATGTTTTCTGCGCTCATGTAGGAGACAACGGTCTGTGTGACCTCTGAACCGGAACAAAAAGAACCACAACAAAAAACAGCTGGGGCTCCGCAAGTGTTCTGGGAGGCTATGCTAACTAGCTTAACGGGAAAACAACAGCAGCAACACGCAGTCTGCTACACACTCAAGGGCCATTCAGATATTAGATGTAAAAGAACAAACGCAGTTGATTTACCAAATGCTGTTCACTTAAATACAAACTCCATGCTCCTTTCTTTGTTGACAAAGAGTTTAATCCCAGTTAAATCCCAACTCACAAATCCGTTTCTCCTCCTCCTTCAGCCATTGAGTGTTAAAAAAAACAAAGCTAGGTAAAAATAACAATAATCTACACTAAGCAACATTAAAAAAATGTCATAATTTCTTCCATATCTTTCAATTTCAACTCTTACTACTCCGACTAAGCCTCTGCTTTTAAATTTCGTTTCACGACAGGAATGGTAGATAGATGTAACATACAGGATCAGGAGACATACCATGCCTTAATTATATTCCTTACAGTAAATGTGTGTACATTCTTTTTAGGTACTGTGTGATACTAAATGCATTTGAAGTGGCTTCACCAGATATGTTTTTTTTTTTTTTTTTAAAGCAGAGCACGGAAATGAAACACGAAAGTATGGTTTACATTTCTACTACCTTGTGATTTGTGTTAATTGTTAGAAGAAATGTTATAGAAGTCTGTTTTAGGTTATACGTAATACATTTTACATGAAGCCAAACTAGAGAAACAGTGTTCTCCATTAAGTAATTGTCACATTTATTTATTCGTTCTTGAATTCACATGTAGGCATATGTGGTTCCAGGATGTGTCGCATGTGAATTATCATATCCCACATGTGAAAACACAGATTTCACATGTTCATTTCTCCTCTCTTTTCACCATCCTCTTCCCCTCCCTCCCCCACCAGTTCGGAGTGTGTTTGCAGTCTGGGCTCAGAGTTTCGTCGCGGGGCCGGTGTGTTGGACATGGTGTTTGAGTCTCCGTTCCAGCTCTTCACCTGCGGCTATGATACCTTCATCCGACTGTGGGACCTCCGACTCAGCCCACGGTACGCCACCATGGTGATCTCAGTCTCCCTGAGACCTTGTAGGATCTGTTTGTTAAATAGTGACACCTACAGTGCATCTACTGTACAGTGCTTCAGACCTTTACCACACCATGCTTGACACCAAATCTACCACTGAGGACACTTATTATGGGAATTCGCGGTCTTAGCATTAAACAATTGGGGAATTTACATTCTACCACAGCTACGAACATTATTTGTGAAATAGAAAATGTAACATTTTCTGAAAAACACAGTAAATGGGTTCAAATGTCCACAAATGTTAGCTTGTGAGATGTTTGGAATTGCAGATTAAGTTGAAGCACTCAAAGTAGATGAAGTGTCAGATGAAGTGTAAGCATTTAAAAGGTGTTGAGGTGTAATATAAAGTGTAATCACTGAAAGTATTTGAAATGTTAGTTTCCACTTTAAGTCCAGTAGGCAGTTGCATTGTTTGACGAGTAAGCACTGAAAGTTTTGTTAATATGAACCTACAATTGAATTTCTACTTTTCATAAAAGAAAACAAAGTTGTTTTTATAGTTCTTAGAAATATCTTTCTATCGTAAATGGAGGTTCGGCTTGTCCAGGTCTTTGAGCTGTTTAGACACATTTTCGCCTCTTCCTCTGGCACCACCACGTAGCATGAAGAGTAGGCGGCGGTATGCACCTTTTGCTTTGTAACTTTACTTTGTATTCCACCAGCACCATCTTCTTCTATAATATTAACAGGAAAATGCATAGATTTCTATCAACAAGGTAATGTAAACTCATTGCCTTTACTGGATGAGGACCGATCATAACTGGTGTGCATAGTCAAACCTAAAAGGCCAGGAGGAACCCTGTGATTTTAGCTGAAAGCGGTATTTCTAAAAACCACAATGCAGGTAACTTAAACTACAAATGCTTATCATTACTCATCTTTGTGACTAATTAGTCAAATATTAGGGCAGCCCTAATACAAGTATTTATGATTACTAATCATTTTGACCTTATTCAAACCCACAATGCCATGGGGAAAATTTAACTTGGGTCTCAAGTCCGTCCATCAGATTTATCTTGGGTCTAAATCTTGAGCGATCCAGTCAGCTGGCCAATCACAGTATATTTATGCACACAAAGTTTATTTTATTTTATTTTTGAATACTATATTGATCCCTTTAAGGAGGAAATTTGTCTCTGCATTTGACCCATAGGGAGCAGTGGGCTGGATTCAGTGTATTGCTCAGGTACACTTCGACACGTGACACGTCCCAGTCGAGGATCGAACCGTTGACCCAGTGAGCCACGGTCACCCCTAAAAGTTTGGTTACTTTTGCAAACATGTGCAATCATGAAATGTGAAATCCGCCATAGTTCCCTAATTATTGTTCTACTGTCAGGATGGAACAGCTTCAGAAATAACATTCATGGTGTAATACTCATTCCGAGCCGAAGGTTTTATCTCCAACAGTGTAAGCACGGGAGGCCAGCATTCAGCCCCCCCTGTGGTATCCATATTAATGCAGCAGCCCTCACTTCGGTATATGCCGGCAACATGACTGGGGAGGGCAGCATTTATTTTGGACAGCAGGGGTTAGAGGGGTTTCAGGTTGTATTTTGGGGGGGGGGGGGGGGGGGGGGGGGGGGGGATCAGTCAAGTGAGACAAATCAGATCTGATTGGCAGATCGCTCTGGGGACTTCGTAAGGGGCTGGGTTGGGGTGAAGGTTGGCAGAGGGGGGTCCCTCTTTAGATATCAATAATTCATGTGCCCAAACCGAACTGGCCTCCAAAAAGGCTCCCAGGGTCAGCCAGGAGGTTCAGGTTGTCTGGAAGTTGGGGGCTCAACACCAAAGAGAAATGCACTGTGACAGATAAAAAACAAATAGTTCCCATGGTGATTAATAAATCTAATGATTTTCCTCCTCTATATAAACAAGTAACATATAGTTAGATAAAATCACAATATATGTGATTTTATATTATTATATCTACATCTACTATGTTGTGATAGAGCGTATTTTCTTTCTATAGATAAACTAACCAGACTGGGATGTTTGTCTTTGGTTAGTCCTGCAAATTAAATACCTTAATAACATCAATGGAAACATAATATTGACATAAATCAATCCATGGTACGAATATTGACACGCAAAAAGAAACATGGATCTGACAGTGAAGACGTTTAGATTTACTCACGTTATATACCCAACCATAACAGTATATAAAATAGCATAATGGGTTATGGGTGATGAATATCAGATACAGTGTCACGTAATTGATAATTAAAGTTACATTTTCAGTAATGACAAGTGGAACACGGCTCAATGAAGATGAGAAGTAACTGTAATGATTCTGTACATTGGACTGAGGTTCGAAAAATGGAGCAATGTGTTCCAACATAGCTTAGTAAAGCTGGGGAATACTTCAAAATTATCATTCATCAACTTTCAGCTTGATAATAATGTGAATATGATGCCGTCGTGTTATCTTTCTACAAATGACTGATGTCCACACAAATGATCCAAGCCATGCTTTGATTGAGATTTTGTTTTCCAACATAAAGTTTTGACTCATGCATTGCAGTAGAACACGGTTCATTGCTTTGAACATCAGTTTATTTTATGTGTCATTCTTTTTTTTGCCATACATCAGATAATCAGCCCAATTTCTCTACAATATTTTTTCCCATTTCACACAGTTTGAGTTAAATGTGTGTTTCACCTTCAAGATGCCATGACAATGGGTGACCTCCCCGTGTTCTAGAATTAGAGTGTGCATTTGTATGTATCGTGTGTGTGTGTGTGTCTGTGTCTGTGTCTGTGTGTGTGTGTGTGTGTGTGTGTGTGTGTGAGAGAGAGTCCAGACGTCTTTGCTTCCCCATTGTCTGCCCCTGGTGTCTCTCCATCACTTATTGATGAGGCTGCACTAATGGAGGATCGATGTCTATTGGCAGAAAATACTTATCCCCAAAATACTTCCCCTCTCTTAACCACAGCCACTGCCAGCGCAACCCTGCTTTACTGCTCACTCAGCCCCCTGCAGCATGTGCGTACACAGGCACTCACATACAAACACACACACACACACAGCTTGACCTCCTTGTTAACAACAGTATAGAGTTTTCCTGTAAACAGGAATTTCAGCATTGTCTCCAAAGCTCAACAACATCTAAACAGAGATACAATTGTTTTAAACTTCTGTTTTCAGTGATCTCAGCTGGAAGATTCTCTAAATTTGAGGCCCCCCCCCCCCCAAATACCCAGATTCAGACAAATTACTGCCTTAGTTGTGAGTTGAAACCATGACACTTTAAGTTAAATTAGCTTTTATCACTTTATTTCATGAATTAATAACTTTCCTGTAATTCCTTAATAACTCTAACAATGGTCAAAGATCGTCTGTGGGAGTGAGGTGTCTGTATCTGTACCGAGGGAGAGTTGGATAATGTAGCAGTTACCTCTGTAGGCCCTTCTGTTGCCTTTGTTGCTCAATATAGTCAAAGAGTAAGTGTACATATACACTCTGTTTTTTCCTGTTTACGAAATAACTCAACAAAGGCTCCGTTTTCAGTGACTTAAAAGGCCGTTTGGGTTTAAGCCAAAACGCATCGAAAAGCTGCATTTACAAAAACACAATCGTGTACATTTGTCCCTAGTTTCCAAAAAAAGTGTAATGAATGAATATTTACTTGGCTAAATTTCTCTGAAATCGACTGCCTAAAAACAAAACGCAATAAATTCAAAGAACTATTTCTATTTTCCCTTCACTTCAGTCAGCGACTGACGTCTACAAAGGATTTCAAATGAAATCTGTTGACCTCATTTAAGTTCATCTTCATTTGTCCAATACATTTAATTTATTTATTTATGTGTATTTAAGTGATAAAAAGGAGTAGGATTATAGGATTATAATCACTGTTATAAAGCATTTTCTCACTCTCTCCCCAAACACATCCGAGACTGCACCGATCTTTCCATGTTCAAATCACAAATCAAAACTCACCTTTTCAGAACTGCTTTTAATGTGTGACGTATGTTGTGTGTTCTATGATTTTAGTGTATAGCTTTTTTATGTTATGATTTTAATGTTTGGAAAGTGTCTTTGAGAATTTTGAAAAGTGCTTTATAAATAAAATATATTATTATTATTATTTTGATTATATAACGACTCAAAAAAAAAGTGACAATGTTTTGTGTGTTGTTTTTGCATAGATTTAATGACCTATAACTTATAAACACATTATAATGCATTGTATCAGTGATTATAGTGTATTACAACTATGGGAATTATACACTTATGCACTATACAAATATGTAAATGATACTCTATGATATTTTAATCTGCAAAAATGCCTCTGGACACAAATATAAAAAAGTAAAACATAACTTTATCTTCAGTCCAGACTTATACATTATCTCTGCCAGTTGAAACCCTTTGAAAAATCGGACATTATGTGGCGCTTCGTCTCAACACGTGTGTGTGTGTAAACGCTCCCATCCTTCCCAAACAGGAAGTGTGTGATGGAGTGGGAGGAGCCTGATGACAGCGCGCTCTACTGTATCCAGACGGACGGGAATCACATGATAGCCAGCGGCTCCTCGTACTACGGCGTCGTGCGACTCTGGGACAAACGGCAGACCGAATGCCTGCAGGTATGCGGGCTACATTATGTTCTCAATGTGTGAATTGTCTACAGTACCATGCTTTTAAAGACCGGTTTAAAATAACATTATATGAAGTGAATGCCAGATGTTAAAAAATAAACTTAAAACTGTGATGATGTGATTTCATGATATGTTTTGTGTGCAGTTCTTCCACCTGAGCTCACGCCCGGTGAGCAGCCCGGTGTACTGCCTGAGGTTTAGCAGCTCTCACCTGCACGCAGCCCTGGCCACCTCCCTGCACTCACTGGACTTCAGACAGAACCCCATCCACATTAGATGATACACACACACACACACACACACACACACACTCTGTTCAAATTAATCTGTTCAATAAAGCTGTCTATTTTCACACAAAAAAAAGTTTTTTGAAAGGAACTGCTTATTCTGAGCCAGCAACGTATTTTCCATGATTTTGGTTTTGGAAGAACTAAGCTTTTTCTCCATGTCACAGTGATATAATATTCCATAAAGTGGGTGGACTTATTAGAGAGAAGAATGGTCAAAGGGGCCAAGATATCCTGATTTTTATTCCCTGGTGCTCTTTTAGGCTCCAAGAACCCTTACTACTACATTTCCTATCATGCAACCGTATAGCATCTGTCATTGGTTAATGCCAGACTGCAAACCTTTGGTTCGGAAAAGTGAAGCCAATAAGGAAGTCCCTTCAATCTGCATTCTTTCTAATTGTCGTCAACTAACTATTACCACTTTCGTGGTTCATCCCAGAAAGTAGAGAACGTGATGAACGCAGGTTCATCACAATTTTGTTTGTGTCCATGTGTGTGTGTGTGTGTGTGTGTGTGTGTCTGTGTGTATATATATATATGTGTGTATATATATATATGTGTGTATATATATATATGTGTGTATATATATATGTGTATATATATAT